TCTGGGCCGCGCCGGCCTGCCCCGTGCGGCGGCCGGGGAACGCGAGGTGCCCGCTGTAAGGGCTGTTCCCCCGAGAGTGACTCCGCACGGTACAGAAAGGGAGCGTGCCCTGAGCCGGGATGGCCGCCAGCAGCTTCACTCCCGCGTGTAGAGGCGGATGTAGAGGAGGATGAAGTGGCACATCCAGGGCTGACAGGACCCGCGTTGCTGGGCAACAGCAGCTAACGCCGAGCTCCCGGGAAAAGGCTCTGGGAGGCTCCCAGCACGTGGGCAGGGCCGTGGGCAAGTGCCGCGACCTGTGCAAGCCTCAGCCGCTTTTGTAGGCCTTGACACATGAAATGGTTGTTGACGTTCCAATAAAGAGAATGTTACTGTCGTCCACGTACATGTCCATTCCCACTTTGTCTCCTGATTAAACTCTTGGCTATGGCTATGGAACAACTTCAAGATGAGTGGAACACTCCACCACCAACTTTGAGTTTACCATCTTAATTTTAGTGTGATGTTCATCTATTCGTGTGCCATAAAGGGGTTTCCTCCTACCTCTCCACACTAATCCTTATGCTGAGCAGTTTTATCACATCACCTGCTTAGTTATCTGTCACTTTTGTCAGTTTCTTGTACCTTAATTTTCCGCACCCCTCATCCTGTGAAGAAATTTTCATTTCTAACCCTGGAGAAAGCCATGGAGGTGCAGTAACTTTCTTCCCAAAGCAAATTAGAGGAACTCAGACTGTTGGTTTAAATAATGGCATATAATACCCAATCTGATTTCCATCCCCATTGAAGCCATTCCCAAAGCTTCAAAACAGTCCTTTTGCAGCCACTAAGCTGCAGTCATTAAGTTTTAACTTGGTACCCTATTTTTTGCTCTGAGTTGATACCAACAGTGCTTTGGAAACCCAAGCACAATGTGGAGCCTTGACACATGTTTCTTTTAATTATGATTAAGGTGTTTCCTGAATCTTAACCTCTTTCTGTCCTGTAAAAATGCTGTTTCTTACTGATTTATCTCAGACACTTGACAGCATCAGATACACTGTGAACATTTAAAGACATCATCCCTATCAGGTCTTCTGTAGCCTCTCTCTTGCTGGCCCATTTAATTTCAAAAAGCAATGCATTTATAGAGATGGTGAGGAGTCATGCAAAGAAAGGATTTCATATCACAGCAGTTTCAGAGATTTAAGAGTTCTCCAGTCTCCAAAGGCTTATATACACAGTTTGGTTGATTTAATTACATTATTTTAACTATATTACCTTAAAATTGAACTAAAGTGATATAACTGTGGAAGAAGGACTATTAGTCTAATATGCACGTGCTTTTATTACTTGCTCGTATTGCTAACACTTCATTACACAGGTATTAAGCCACTGCTTTCCCTTACTTCAGTTTGTACACACAAGAATATTCCACCTTTTCCTAAAGCTGTTGATAGAAAAAGTTGCAGGCAGAGAATCCCAAAGTAATGGAACAAGGAGGATGCTGTTATCTTTTAATACTGATAAACCCTTCTTTTCAGAGATGTAATTGCCTGAATTCTTTGCTCAGCACCCCGGGGGACACCCAGTTTACCTGGACTTTGTTAGTTTCCCAAACCCCCTTTTCCTTCTTTTCAGACCATGAGCAGAAGGAACTGTGAGCAAGCAGGCTGCTCCTCGCTATGCAGGCCGTGGTTTTCCAGCTGTGGCTGAATGACATCTCTTCATCATTATAGTCTGGCACACAAGGAAGGCAGGCCAGCCGGCCTTCCCTTGCCATCAGCTGCCGCTCCCCCAGCTGGCCCCACTTTCCCCATCAATTAGCAATCATCAGCTCCCCAGGTAAGATAAAAGCAGGGCAGGGGCACAGGTAGGGCTGACCCTTCAGCGGCGAGAATCATGGACAACTTTGTCTGTTCCCCCTTCAGCACGTACCAGAACTTCAGGAGCAGCCCCGCCGTCGGCCGCGGCTGGGACGCTGCGGCCAAGCAGCCCAGCTGGAAGCAGAGCAAGAGCGGCAGCATCAGCCCCTTCCTCGGGGGGCCCTTCACGCCGCTGCCCTCCGACTACCTGGACAGCTACCGGCGGGCGCAGCTCC